GAAGTCTGTGGCACATAAGAGACATAGCATAATTTTGAAGGGGAGAGTGAGCCCTTTGAAGTTGTTTACCTTAGTTCTTATATTTTAAATATTATAAATTTTGCTCCTTTCCCATGTAATGGAATAACTGTCCTTAAAAGAACTGAAAGAAATTTAAGATTGATGGATATTTATTTGCTTCAATACCAAAGTCAGTGTATGTCTGTACATGTGTGTATGAAAGAGAGAAAGAAAGAAGGAGAGAAGGAGGAAGAGAGAGAGTTTATTTCCAGGAAGAAAACAAACAAACAAAAAAACCCAAAACCCTTTCTTCAAACGTAGGAGCAGCCCACCAGGGGCCTAGCTCAGATTTTCACCCATTATTTCCTCCTGGGTTTTAGCCGTCAGGGGCAGAATGCCATCTGTTCCCATACTAGTAAGTGAAGAAGGCTGGGCCTAATTTACCAGCCATGATTCTACGGCTTTCACTAATTGTTAAGAAAAAAATCCTCTAAAAAAAATTTTTTTTTAATGTCCTGTCCACTCCCCTCTATTCCACTGCCCCCCAACCCCTGCCCCAGCCTCTAAGCTGAGTTAGCATCTCCACAGCCCTCTGGGCCTTGGGAGCTTGAGGTGAATTCTGATCTCCTTGTGGGCACTAAGCCACACACTGGCCCTCTCAAAGTACTATTATTGTGTGGCGTCAAATGCCTTTGTACATCACTTTCCCAGTCTTTTGTCCCCAAATCTCATCTATTACAATGAAAGAACGGCTCTTCTTTCAAGGTTCTAAAGTGTAAGAACAGATCACTCACCAGGTAACTGCTGGACTCACTCACTCAAGCAGTCTCATCATATGCATATGATCCCTTAGGCATACATAGTTCATCTATTTTTTTCTTCCCACAATTCTTCAAGTTCATTATAATCTTCTATCTTGCCTGTGGTCTAATTAGAGTAATACATCTCCCTACTTGCCCTTAATTCACAAATTACCCCATTTTACAGGGGGAGACGCCAAGGCCAAGAGAAACACAAACGCCCTGCCACACAGCAAATCCATCTCACATCTGGTATCAGAACACAGAAAACTCTTGCTAAGAGACTCAGTGGGGGAGTGGGTTTTCCAAGAGACATACCAAGTTTCTTTCTCTTCGGGCATTTTTAGCCTTGGCAGAATATCAAGCGCTTTCTGGTCTGGGAGTCCAGGCCAGGACCCTAATCTCATGAGCACAACAAGCAGCCTTTACTGCACACTAACCATGTGCCAGGAGCTGTGCTGTCTGCCTCCAGTTTATTACCTCAGATTCATTCATTCATCCATCTAGGAAGCACCTCCCATCATCAGTAAGCACCTTGACACACATTCACAGCAATGTGTTCCCTCAAATATTTAATAACATGCCAATTTTGTGCCATCACTTGTCCAAGGTCACATAACTAAGAAGGGCAGCACCAGAATCTGAACTGGGTCCTTCTGACTTCAAAGTTGTCCATTTCCTTTTTAACATCCCATCTGCTGGTCCTATAGGTTTTATTAAAAATAATAGGTCAGTCGCAGTGGCTCACGCCTATAATCCCAACACCTTGGGAGGCTGAGGCGGGTGGATCACTTGAGCTCAGGAGTTCGAGACCAGCCTGGGCAACATGGTGAGACCCCCGTCTCTACCAAAAATACAAAAATACAGCCGGGCGTGGTGGCATGCACCTGTGGTCCCAGCTACTTCAGAGGCTGAGGTAGGAGGATCACGTGAGCCAGTGGGGCAGAGGTTGCAGTAAGCCGAGATCGCGCCACTGCACTCCAACCTGAGTAACAAAATGAGACCCTGTCTCAAAAACATAAAATAAAATAGTAAATACGTGCAGGCACTTCCCTACCCTCAGGCACTTCTCTACCCTCATCTCAGTCCCAAGCTCCCCACCATCTTTCCCTTCCCCTGAGGGCAGTGCCTACAGCTGACCAGGAAGAGGCAGGAGAAGAGCAACCAAGTCTGCAGCAGCCTCCTGCCTGGACTTGACTTAGCCCAGCAGCAGAGGGCCCAGGAAAGTCTCCAAGCACTTCTCCCCAGAAGAAAATAGCTCGAGTTGAAACTTGTGTCCACATGGTCCACCGACAGATTTAGAACTCAAATTATAGCCTCGGCAGGAGTCTTCACAAAGGACTCAAATTAAGCAAGACCCAGATGGAAACGAACAGGAGAGAGACTGCCCTCAGTCAAACTGTAAAGTGAACTGCAGTTCCAGTGGAGTCAGAGGGAAGAACTTGTTGAAATGCTAAAGCAAACACTAGTGCAGCCCATACTTCAGAACTCCACTTCAGTCAAACGCTCCCCACGTTTTTAGCTTGAGACTTGTGCGTGGACACGAAGTGGTTACAAGTTACTCAGGTTTCAAACCGAGTTCATTCCTGTCCTTTGGACCATCTCTCAATGCCAGCATTCATCTACTTGGGCTCCACAGAGCTCTGCGTTTGGCAAAGCAGATAAAATTAGCTACTGAACTTGGAATCCAGGGTGGGCCATTAAAAAAAGTACATGAGATGTGTAAATGCCACGTAAAAAGTTCCTTTTGGGCCAGGCCAAAATCACCTAAAACTTACAGAAATCCTGTCCCTTGCCTCCCTTCCCCTGTTTCTGGATCTAAGGTGACCCATTTCCTGCTTCTTGCTCTGTCTTTCAAACCAAAGTGGCCTATGAACGAGGGATCCTATTTGATCGAGGGTTGAATCAGGGGATCTCGGGAGAGAAAATGCAACAGGAAGAGATAAAGGAGAGTTTTCTTCTCCTTTTTATTTTGATTTTTTTCAGCAGGGGGAGGGAAAGTTAAGTTATAGTATGCAGAGGGAGGACTGAGGGATGGGACAGGAAGTGGGTCACTCCCACAGCTTGACAGTGTGATAATGGGGATACAATGTTTCTCCCTTGTCCCATTTGTCGTCACAAAGGCGTGACAACACTGTGATGGCCCCACCACTGGAAAATTGAGTAACTAAGGTGGTCATCTAGTACCAGCTCCTGCTCCCCCAAATCTAGCAGATCTTAGAGGGACATGAGGAAATCATGCTTTTTGCCTCTCTGTCCCCGACTTTCCCCTCCAGCCACAAAATCCTCCAGGCCCCTGGAAACCGAAATAAAAGTCCAGAGAATACCCCTAGAGTGGCAACAAAGACTGAAGGAGGGGTACATTTCTGCTCTCTTCCTCCACAGTTGGGGGAAGTGGGTGCCACAGACAGAAAGAGGAGAAGCTTCATATGAGTGTTCCAAGGATAAATAAAGAGTTTCTCCCTTAGAAAATCAGGAGGAAAGCCTCTAGTAAGAGGGAATACTCTCAGGCAAGTGGGAGGGAACCCCATGGAATTCAGACAGACCCCTCAGAGAAGTGAAGAGATCCAGTGTCTCCCATCAGGAGAAGGGATATTTGGAAAAGGGGAGACACACTTCAGAGATGTGAGGAGTCTACAGGAGTGGGATATTTCAAGTTAAGGGGAGATACTAGGGACCCCTCAGAAAATTGCAGTATACATAGAGTATAGAAGAAATAGAAAAGTAGCATACTGGTAAAGTCGGGGTATACCTCAGATAACTAATGATCCGGTCAGATGGGCATTTCAAAGAAGTGGGGGACCCCCTCAGGAAAGTGAAGGCACTCATCAAAAAGTAGGGGGACCAGACGCGGTGGCTCACACCTGTAACCCCAACACTTTGGGAGGCCGAGGTGGGTGGATCGATCACCTGAGGTCAGGAGTTCGAGACCAGCCTGGCCAACATGATGAAATCCACCCCCTACAAAAATACAAACATTAGCCGGGCGTGGTGGTGGGTGCCTATCGTCCCAGCTACTCAGGAGGCTGAGGCAGGAGAGTCCCCTGAACCCAGGAGGCAGAGGTTGCAGTAAGCCCAGGTCGTACCACTGCACTGCAGCCTAGGCGACAGAGTGAGATTTTCTGTCTCAAAAAAAATAAAATAAAGGGAGACAAGTCAGAAAAGTAGGACCACAGCTCAGAGAAGCAGGGGTGGGGAGGTTCCTACAGAGAGGTAGGGCTTCCTCCAAGAAGCTGGAATGTCTTCTTAAAAGAGGGGTCCCCCAGGGAAGAAGGGATTCCCCAGGAATCCACAAAAGGTGGGGGATCCCTCAGAGAAAGTATAGCCTAATAGAAGCAGGGGTCTCCTTAGAGGAGTGAGGATAGGGTCTTAGAGAGGCCAGGGCCCCTCAGAGAAAGGGGGGGACCCTCAGAGAGGCAGAGGGTCGCTCAGATGGGGATTCTCCTCAAAGAGGCAGGGGTCCCTCAGAGAAAGGGACTCCCCTCAGAGGCAGGGGTCCTCAGATAGGAGGGGGTCCCTCAAAGGGGTGGGTTCCTGAGAAAAGTAGAGGGACCCTCAGAGAAGAAGGGAGTCCCCTCAGATAAGCGGGAATCCTCAAAGAGTTGGGGATCCCCAAAGAAGGGAGTTCCTCTCAAAGGCAGGATTCCTTAGAGAGGTGGGGGTTCCCTCCGGCAGGGGTCCTCAGAGAGGCGGGGGAGCCCCTGATAAGGGGGCTCCCTTAGAGAAGCAGGGTCGCCTAGAGAGACAGGGCTCCCCTCGGAGAGACGGGGGTTCCCTAGAGACGAGGTCCCCTAGAGAGGCGGTAATCCTCTAGAGAGGCGGGGGTCCCCTAGAGAGACGGGGTCCCCTAGAGAGGCGGGGATCCTCTAGAGAGGCAGGGGTCCCCTAGAGAGACGGGGTCCCCTAGAGAGGCGGGGATCCTCTAGAGAGGCAGGGAGCCTCTAAAGAGGCAGGATTCCCCTAGAGAAGCGGGGTCCCCTGCCTGGAGAGATGGGGGTCCCTAAGGGAGATGAGGGTCCCCTAAAGAGACGGGGTCTCCTAGAGAGGCGGGGGGCCCCAGAGCAGGAGGCTCCCCTGAGAGGGAGGTCCTGTGGAGAAGGGAGTCCGCTCGGCGAAGGTAGTGCGGGAGAAGCGGAAGCCCCAGAGAGCCCGGGGCACCGGAAGCCGGGGACCCGCCAGCGGCGCCTGCCCCTTACTCACCGAAGTTGCTCGGCGCCCTCGCCGACGGCGGCCGGGACACGGGACGGCCTCGGGCGGCGCAGTCCGGTCAGGTCCTGTGGCGTCCCGCGGAGGCGACTCCCTCAGGTGGCGCCCGCGGCGGCTGCGGCGGCGGCGGCGGCGGCGGCAGCGGCGACAGGACAGACGACCGACCGACCGACTGCGCGGGCGGCGCGGGGCGCGCTCGGGCGGCGGGGGTGCGCGTGCGCGCGCCGGGGCGCTGACCCTGGGCGGGAGGAGCCGCCGCGCCGCGCTCAGAGCCGCCGCTCGGTCTCGCGGCTCAGACTCACACTGAAATTGCCCGCTTCACAGCCCGGCTTCCCCGGTTGCTAGGCAGATTTCGCCTCGCATACTTCCGGGTTGAGGCGCGTCTCCCCGAGTGAAGGCGCCACAAGCCAATGAGATCCAGACAGGACTCTCAGGACCCGCACCCCATAGAAGGTGTGGCCAGCCTCATGACAGACAGCGCATGACGACCAATGAGCGCGCGGGCCGGCTGGTTCTCGGGATCGCGCCGCCGGCCGGGGCGGGTCCGAAGAGGCGGGACGGAATGACTGACAGGCATCCTGCCAATGGTAGATGGGAGCGGGCCGCAGAGCCACTGAAGGCCATGCAAGGGCGGGACTTAAACTTCGGGGCGGGAACCCCGCGAGGGGCGGGGCCTAGGGGGACGCGTCAATTCGTGGCCGGATCGCTGGGACCCCAGAGGGCGGATCGCCTGGGCCACCCGGCGGCCGGCAACTGGCTGGGCAGGGGGTTCCCCGCAGTGCTCTGCAGGGGCGCCCCACCCATAATGCACCGGAGGCAGCCTGGGCCTGGCGGGCGTGGGGCGGCTACGCAGGGCTGCGGGCGGCGCCTCTGAGGAGCCCGGGCGCGTCGTGGCCTGGCAATGTTTCTAAGGGGCTCCGGTGGCCCCGCGCTCTTTCTGCCTCGTCTTGTGCTTCGACCCTCTCTATTCAGGAGAATCTTGGAGATTCTGAGAAGACTCTGCTTCGGGATTCTTTTCCCTGGCCCCCGTTCTGAGGAGGATCTTCGGGAATCTGCCCCGACCCCTCTTCTGAGAGAGTTTGGGGGGTTCCTTGCCCTGCCCGCTTTTCTGAGGACAATTGCCGGGATCACGATTATGTTGTAGATTCGGGCCCCTCGCTCTGTTCCCTAAGAAAACATGGGAGTTCGGGATCCTTTAGGAGCATTTGGGGAATCCAGGGTCCACCGCCTTTTCCGAGGAGTATTTGGGGCACATCCACTCCTTTTCCAAGTACTCTTGGGGGCCGCTCTCCCTGTTCCTCCTTTATCTGAGGAAAGTGGGGACTGGGCGCCCCCCTCCACCTTCGTTTCTGAAGATAACTTGGGGATTTTCTGCCTCCCCTGTCCTCTCACTCCACGAGGAATTTGAGACTTCAAGCACCCCGCCTCTCTCCAGAGAAGGATTGCAGCAGATGGGCGCCCCTCACCCCTTTACTAAGGAAATAAGGCAGGGCCCGGTGGCTCACGCCTGGAATCCCAGCACTTTGGAAGGTCAAGGCTGGAGGATCGATTGAGCCCAGGAGTTTCAGACCAGCCTGGGCAACGTGGCAAAACCCCGTCTCTACAAAAATTAAAATCCAAATTAAAAAATTAGCAGGGGTGGTGGCGCACACCTGTAGTCCCAGCTACTCCGGAGGCTGAGGTGGGAGGATCGCTTGAGCCGGGAGGTCGAGGCTGGGCGACAGAGCGAGACCCTGTCTCAAAAAAAAAAGAAAAAAGAAAGAAAGCTACCGGGCACGGTGGCTGACGCTTGTATCTCAGCACTTTGAGAAGCCAAGGTGGGCAGATCACCTGAGGTCAGGAGTTCGAGACCAGCCTGGCTAAGATGGTGAAACCCTGTCTCTACTAAAAATACAAAAATTAGCCGAGCGTGGTAGTGGGCGCCTGTAGTCACAGCTATTCGGGAGGCTGAGGTAGGAGAATCCCTTGAACCTGGGAGACAGAAATTGCAGTGAGCCAAGATCTGCCACTGCACTCCAGCCTGGATGACAGTGAGACTCCGTCTCAAAAAGAAAGAAAGAAAGAAAAAGAAAAGAAATGCCAGGGAGTTGTGCTCCATGTGCTTTTCTAAGCAGAATCTGAGTGTGGAAAGAAAGGTTCCCCTTTTCCCGAAACTTCGACTTTCTGACGCCTCCGCCCTAGGACATTGCAGGGAGTCAGACCTTTTTAGAAAAGCAACCCAGGCTGGGCGCGGTGGCTCACGCCTGTAATCCCAGCACTTTGGGAGGCTGAGTCAGGCGGATCACGAGGCCAAGAGATCGAGACCATCCTGGCTAACACAGTGAAACCCCATATCTACTAAAAATACAAAAAATTAGCCGAGTGTGGTGGCGGGCGCCTGTAGTCCCAGCTCCTGGGGAGGCTGAGACAGGAGAATGGCGTGAACTCGGGAGGCGGAGCTTGCAGTGAGCCGAGATCAGCCACTGCACTCCAGCCTGGGTGACAGAGCCAGACTCCCTTTCAAAAACAAAAAGAAAGAAAAGCAACCCATTTTGCCCCCCTTTCCGTTTTTGTTTTTTGTTTTTGTTTTTTTGGGTTTTTTTCTTTGACACGGAGTCTCTGTTGTGCAGTGGCACTATCTTGCAGTCTCCACCTCCCGGATTCAAGCCATTCTCCTGCCTCAGCCTCCGGAGTAGCTGGGATTACAGGTGCCCGCCACCACACCCAGCTAATTTTTGTATTTTTAGTAGAGATGGGGTTTCACCATGTTGGCCACGCTGGTCTCAAACTCCTGACCTCAAGTGATCCACCCCCCTCGGCCTCTCAAAGTGCTGAGATTACAGGTGTGAGCCACTGCACCTGGCCTCTCTGTCTTTTTGAGGAGAATTTTTTCCATGCAGCTCTCCACTCTTTCCCAAGGAACACGTGGCCCTTCCCAAATCTGGCCCGTTTGCCTCTTCAGCCCTGCAGTTTCCTTCTCTGCTAGGTAAGATCCTTCTAATAAGAGTTCCTGCTTCACAATCACCCCTAGATAAAATCAGTCAACCCAAACTCTTGAAGAATCACCTCAGCCTGGGAGGTCAAGGCCGCAGTGAGCCATGATGGCACCACTGCACTCCAGCCTAGGTGACACAGAGACCCTGTCTTTAAAAAAAAAAAAAGTCACCTCAAACTCTGAGAAGCAAGAGTGTCGTATTTTTTTTTCTTTTTGTTTGTTTGTTTTTTGAGACAGGATTTTGCCCAGGCTGCAGTATAGTGGCAAGATCATGATGGAACCTCCACTCCTTGATCTTAGGTGATCCTCCTGACTCAGCCCTTGAGTACCTGGTACCACAAGTGCATGCCACAAGACCGAAGTTTTGTTTTGTTTTGTTTTGTTTTGTTTTTGTGAGATGGAGTCTTGCTCTGTCCTCCAGACTGGAGTGCAATGGGGTGATCTTGGCTCACTGCAACCTCTGCCTCCCAGGTTCAAGTGATTCTCCTGCCTCAGCCTCCTGAGTAGCTGGGATTACAGGCACGCGCCACCACGTCTGGGTAATTTTTGTATTTTCAGTAGAGATAGGTTTCCGCCATGTTGGCCAGGCTGGTCTCAAACTCCTGACCTCGTGATCTGCCCGCCTCAGCCTCCTAAAGTGCTGGAATTACAGGTGTGAGCCACCGCACCTGGCAACCTAAGTTTTTGCATTTTTAAAACATTTTAAAACAGAAGGTCTCCTTCTGTTGCCCGGGCTGGTCTCAAACTCCTGACCTCAAGCAATTCTCCTGCCTTGTCCTCCCAATGTGGCAGAATTACCTTCCAATGTGCTAGAATTACAGGTGTGAGTCACCATGCCCAGCCCCAACAGTGTTTGCACCTCTGCTGAAGCATGAAGCATGTACTGTGGCCTACCAGGGGTCAGGGCCTTCACTTCTGTCTTCCCCCACTTGATTCTGAACTTCTTGCCTCATTTCCCCTCCAAAGAACCCAGCTTTGTCCTTAGTAGGCAATCCCATTGAATGAAAGGAGTGAAGAAGGCTGTAATGAATGAGAAAGACCTGCAGCACTGATGATTCAATATGGCAAACTTTTTTTAAGAGACAGGGTCTTGCTGTGTTGCCCAGGTTGGACTCAAACTCCTGAGCTCAAGCAATCCTCCTGCCTCAGCCTCCCAAGTAGCTGGTACTGTGGTCGAAGGCTACTGTGACTGGCATGTCAAACTTTTATTGCCCTTATTTTGTACACATAAGTGTCCAAGGTGCAAAGATGTCTGAATTATACGCTGGAACTTGTGAGTAAAAATAAATGCAATAAAGGGAAATAGGCTTGTTATACCAAGCAGAATGTTATACCGAAGAGGTACCAAGAAACTGTTGTAGGAATGCAGAGGAGGAAGTGATTAAATGAGATAATGGATGTGAAAGTGCTTTGTAAACCATGAAACAGTATACCCAGTAGAAAAGATGATTATTATTGTTACAAGTGCGCTGATGTTCCTGGAAGAAAAGTAAAGAATAAATTCAGTCACAATGATGGGAGGTTGGCAGGGAGCCCTGTGGGGCCTGACTCCCTGAGCAAGCTCAACCTGTCCCCAAGTGGCAAGGCTGATAGAGTCCTTGGCTAGGGAAAGAAGCCATTGTAAACATGAAGACAAGCTGTTCCCAGAACACCTTCTGTGCACCTCTGTCATAGTACTTACCACATCCTGCAAGTATCTGAGGCAGTCCAGGTGGACAATAAACACTTGGACTTTGATGGTTGGCCCAGCTGGGGTCGAACCCATACCTGCCAATCCCTACAGAGGCCAGTTACTTTCTTCACCATATAAGAAATCAGGGCTAGGCCGGGCACAGTGGCTCACGCCCGTAATCCCAGCACTTTGGGAGACTGAGGCGGGCGGATCATGAGGTCAGGAGATCGAGACCATCCTGGCTAACACGGTGAAACCCCGTCTACCAAAAACACAAAAAATTAGCTGGGCATTGTGGCAGGTGCCTGTAGTCCCAGCTACTCGGCAGGAGAATGGAGTGAACCCGGGAGGCGGAGGTTGCAGTGAGTCGAGATCGCACCGCTGCACTCCAGTCTGGGCGACAGAGTGAGACTCCATCTCAAAAAAAAAACAAAAAACAACAAAACAAAACAGAAATCAGGGCTCATACCTGCAGTTGTACCACTTTGGGAGGCCAGGGTGGAAGAATTGAGCACAGGAATTTGAGACTCACCTGGGCAACATATCAAGACCCCTTCTCTACAAAAAAAAAAAAAAAAAATTAGCCGCCAGGCACGGTGGTTCACACCTGTAATCCTGACACTTTGGAGGCAGAGGTGGGTGGATCACCTGAGGTCAGATCGAGACC